ATGCATGAAGGTAAAAAACCTTCTCTCTGAAGCATCCCCCTCAACCCCACTAATACTCACCTAAGCCCCCTCTCGATCCAGGGATGTGCATTGGAGTCTCGGCTATCCCAGGACTCCCTTTTCTCATTGGCTGAGAGCAGCAGGAGCCAATGGCCATTGGCTCCTGCTGCTGTCAATCACAGCAAGTGAGCCAATGACAGAAGAGAGAAAGAGGAGCCGAGCCACGGCTCCGTGTGTGAATGGCCCCCATAGCAAGCTGTTTGCACCTGACAGGAGGGAGGAGCCAGGAGTGCCTGCGGGGGGCCCGAAAAGAGGAGGATGCGGGCTGCTCTCTGCAAAACCGCATCACAGAGCAGGTAAGTATGACGTTTGTTAGTTTAGAAAAAATGATGCCTTTAGAATCCCTTTAATTTCTGTGAAATCTGAAAATTCTCCTTTGCAGTTGGATTTCTGGTTTATTCCAGGGGGAGTATAAGCACGTTTGCCTCCTTATCCTCAGCTCCCCAGCAGACAGTGCTCCCCCATGCTCTGACTGTGGACTGTTCCTCAGCATCATCATGTCCAGTGCAGGGCTGTACATCTGGCTTGACAACATCAGGACCTGAGACTAAAAGAGCATGGGGGGGAGAAGACACTTCAGGGTCCAGCCTAGCAATGAGGAGGAGCAAAGGATCAGGTAAATAAATCTTTTCTAAATCCTATACTTAAACAAGCAGTTAATCCCTGCAGTGTGGGCACCGCACAACTGCAAGGAAGAGTTTTCAAGTTTCCCAAACTTGGACTTTAAATCAGCTGTTGGAAGTGCTCACAAAAACCGATAGTTTATTATCACTTTCATTGTCTCCACAATGCTGATAGATACAGAAATGCATGAGAACTTGTTATAAACTGCTTTTACTGTTTGTTCCGAATGCTGTAGCGCTGATCTGGGAACAGGTTCTTGTTAAAAAGTTTACAATTCCTAGCAATCCTTCACGTTCATTTTCTCCACAATGCTTATACATACGAAGTTAAATGAGGGCTTGTTTTCTTAGATTGTAAGCTCCAAGGAGCAGGACCCTCCTAACCCTCTTGTATTGAACTGTATTGTTGCTGTATTGTCTCACTTTATATTGTAAAGTGCTGAGCAAACTGTTGGCGATATATAAATCCTGTATAATAATAATAATAATAAGGTGCTTTTTCTGCTTGCTCAGAATACTTCAGTGCTCATGATCTGGGCACACGTTCATTTTAAAGTGTCTGTAAATTCTCACAATGTTCACCAAATGTGCCCTGCTAAACCATAAAAATGTATTCACATAAATATATTATTCATGGGAGTATGTTACTGGGAGAATCACCAGGTATAAATGGAAAACCTTTGCAAAAAGAAAAACGTATGCAGCCATCACAAAGCTGACCAAGCATGTTTTATTCTCAGAAGTATGACTTCTGTACATGATAAACATTACTTCTAACCAAGAAATGTTGAAAGCAAAACTTGTATCCTAAATCCGTGGGTATGGTGCATGACACACATAATGAATTAATTTAATGGGATGTTGGAATTGTTCATTGCGGATCTATGAAAAGATGAATTATTGCTCTAAGGCACTAAACGAAATCCTCCATGCACTGAATCCCTTCCGTCATAATCTTCCTTAGGCCAGGCACTGCACAGAAAGCTACATTTTCCAAGGCTTTTCTGGTTTAGCAGGTTAATTATAAAATACAAGCATTTCTAAGGAAAACATTTAGGATTTGTATAGAAATATTAAAGAGAATGTATGCTTTCGCCAGATTGATGTTACTAATCATTTTAATGAGTGTTTAAACTAAAATAAAAAGTGTATACTATATATACTTATAGTGGAAGCCTTATATTATTATTATTATACAGTATTTATATAGCGCTAAAAGGTTTGCTCAGCGCTGTACATTATAGTGGGGGACAGAACATGAGACAATACAGTAAGAAAACAATACACGAGGGGTTCGAGGGCCCTGCTCTTTCCAGTTTACAATTTAGGAGGGAGGGGATAGTGGTACAGGAGGAAGTGGCTGTGGGGGATGGAGTGGTAGGAGGAGTGGAGGAGATCGGCTGTAAGGTGAGGGCGGGGTAGGCTTCCCTGAAGAGATGGGTTTTCAGGGTGCGCCTAAAGGTGAGTAGGGTAGGTGACAGTCTGATGGATTGGGGTAGTGAGTTCCAGAGGATGGGGGAAGTCCTGCAGTCGGGTGTGGGAGGTGGAGACCAGGGAGCTAGAAAGTAGGAGGTCTTGTGAGGAGCGAAGATTACGGGTAGGGTGGTATTTGGGTATCAGGTCGGTGAGGTAGTTTAGGGCAGGGTTATGAATGGCTTTATATGTCTGTGTTAGTAGTTTAAATTTAATGCATTGCGCGATCGGGAGCCAGTGGTGGGAATGACAGAGGGGGGTGGCAGATGCGGAGCGGTTGGTAAGGTGGATGAGTCTGGCCGCTGAGTTCAGGATAGACTGAAGCGGGGATAGTCTGTGATGAGGTAAGCCGGTGAGAAGGGAGTTGCAGTAGTCCAGTCGTGAGATAATAAGGGAGTGAATGAGTTGTTTAGTAGTGTCTGGGGTTAGGAACGAACGTATATCTTATATATAACTTATATGCTCATTAAAGCAAACAAAATACAATAACAAAACAGTAAGATACTGCAGTTAAGTGTAGATGTGGTGGCTGCATTATTTTTTTTTTTTGTTCCGTTGTTTTCACCCAGTGATCCTGAGTGCAACATACTTACTGTCCTAATGTGACAACACTTACTCACTCCACTGTATTTATGGAGGAGCAGCATTGTCCCCCTGGGATACAAACTACTAGTGTAAAGCGAAAGAAAACGAAAGCTCACCAACCTTGCGCATTACCTCAGTAAAAGGTGATTTTATTGAATTTGAAAATATACTAATTTTTTTCAATAAAATGACATTTTACTGAGGTAATGCGCAAGGTTGGTGTGCTTTCTTTTCGTTTCACTTTACAGTATTGGTCGGGCTTTCCCAGCCTTGTTTAGAGCCGTACAACCTTTGATGCTTTGGTGGTGAATTTCTTTAAGTTCCATGTCCATTGTGGCAGCACAGTGGCTAAATGGTTAGCCCTTCCACCTGGCACTACTAGGATCATAGGTTCTAATCCCACCCACAGCATCACCTGCCTAGAGTTTGCATGCTCTCCCTGTGCCTGCGTGGGTTTCCTCTGGGTACTCCAGTCTCCTCCCACACTCCAAAGACATGCTGGTAGATTAATTGGATTCTGTCTAAATTGGCCCTAATATGTGTATGTAAATTAGGGACCTTAGATTGTACACTCTTTGAGGGTTAGGGACTGATGTGAATGTACTATATATATATGTAAAGCGCTGTGTAAATTGACAGTGCTATATAAGTACCTGAAATAAATAATTTATCCATGCTTGTTCTAGGTCATAGAGCGCAGGAGCTGTTGTTTTTTGTTTGCATATGAACTATTAGGACTGCAGGGCACTTCCCACTCTTAATCTCACTAATATAAAGGGAGGTGTTCTATAGCCCACAGACGGGAATGATGCTAACTGGTAAGAGTGCAGCAGATGCAGAGTGAACAGGAAGATGCCAGCTCATAAGATTTCTGCCAGGATCAATGGGAATTTTGATTCTACATTGAAGAGCTATAACAAAACACTTTCTGTTGTACATTTAACAGACCAAAAGGGAGCTAACAAGAAAAGTTTATTATTAGGGTTTACATATACTGTAACCACATAGGCTCTACTTTCTGTTGTGTGGTACTACAACATGCTTGTGTTTTTACTGCTCTCTCATGTCTATGAGTTAGCCAACTCATTGAAAACAATGGATTTTTGATAACACTAGTAATTAGGCAGGCAGACTGACTGATGCCGAGTCAAACACATACAGTAGATCCATCTTCAGGTTATCTACACATCTCTGTATTTAGTAAAAAAAAAATTAAAAAACAATATGTAAAAATGTGAAAGTCATAAGGGCTAGTTCACAGCAAGCCTGCATCCAAATCGCATAGGAACGCGCTGCCATTCCTGTGCAATTCACATGCGGTTCTATAAGGTGCGATTTCAGCCTTTTCATTTCGAATGGGCTGAAATCGCACTGCATGTAGTGCATGTACTACTATTTAAAAGGCACTGCAACCAGATCACATGGTACAAAAGTGCCATTCGATCCGGTGCAGGAAAACCTTTTGACACCCGCTGCAGAAAGCAAATGTAGTGCGTTTTGCATTCGGTTAGTAATGCACAGCGTGTTTCTGTGTGATTCAGATGCAGGCATGATGTGCACAGGCCATTGAAATTAATTTTATGTGATTTTTTTAAAAGAATGATTTCATACAACACAGGACGGTGAGCATCATATTGAATATATATTGTACATATACATGCAGAGCCATTTACGCTGATATGCATTTTATACATATACAAAATGTTAAAGTGGTTATAAGCAATAAAATTTTATTTTTTTAAATAATAAACATGTTATACTTACCTGCTTTGTGCAATACCAAACTACCTCTTCTGGGGTCCCCCTGCCAGTGTTCTTGGCTCCTCTCTGTGTACTCCCACAGACAGCTGCTTCTTATGGTGGACTCACCCAAGCTGGACTGTGTGCGACCATAGGCACACATAGCGCGGCTCGACTCCACCCCTCCTCACAGGAGTTGATTGACAACAGCTGGAGCAAATGGTTCCTGCTGCTGCCTCTGTATCCTGTGAGGATTGGCACAGCGCTGGATCGAAATAGGACTAAGGTAAGTATAAGGGGGGTGAGGAGTCAATATAACTGCTGGGACATTTTTTATCTAAATGCAGGGACATTCTGCATACAATTGTGAACAGGCAGTCAACATTATTATATTGCAAAAAAAGACATTGCATGTTTCTTCTGCAATAAAGAGCCTGCCTGTTCATTTTTTGTTTTATTTAGTTCCGCTTGAAGCAATGTTGGGCATGCAGTGATATTGACTAGTGAAAGGAGTATCACTCACCGTACTATGAGATATTGTGAGATACCCATACTTTACGCCACATTTCCTTTTCTGCCAAACTTACGTATGCTGAAACAGGAAATACAAGACAGAAAAAGTAGTCTAACATGAAAGTGTCACACTGACAGGAAAGAAAGCTGCCATTCAATAATAAAAATGAAACACAGTAAACTTTTAATGCCAACTAAACGACCTATCTTATATACTGTATATACATTTTCAGTCCCATTATACCCCATCTTTTTAGATGTGCAGCACCCTCCAAGTACCGGCAAAAGATGAAATTCTTATTGTGGCAAATATAATAGCTAAGGATATCTTAAGGACAATGCTGTATGCATGTAGTGCATGTACTACTATTTAAAACATCTCCAAAATACGTTCATTCCTGACCCCAGACACTACTAAACAACTCATTCACTCCCTTATTATCTCACGACTGGACTACTGCAACTCCCTTCTTACCGGCCTACCTCATCACAGACTATCCCCGCTTCAGTCTATCCTGAACTCAGCTGCCAGACTCATCCACCTTACCAACTGCTCTGTGTCCACCACCCCCCTCTGTCATTCCCTCCACTGGCTCCTGATCGCCCAACGCATGAAATTCAAACTACTAACATTAACGTACAAAGCTGTTCATAATACTGCCCCGAACTACCTCACCGACCTGATATCCAAATACCACCCAAAACATACTCTTCGCTCCTCACAAGACCTCCTACTCTCCAGTTCCCTGGTCTCCTCCTCCCATGCCAGTCCCCAAGACTTCTCCAGGTCTTCCCCCATCCTCTGGAACTCACTACCCCAATCCATCAGACTGTCATCTACCCTCCTCACCTTTAGGCGCACCCTGAAAACCCATCTCTTCAGGGAAGCCTACCCCGTCCTCACCTAACAGCCGATCTCCTCCACTCCTCCTACCACTCCATCCCCCGCAGCCATTTCCTCCTGTACCACTATCCCCTCCCTCCTAGATTGTAAGCTCCAAGGAGCAGGGCCCTCGAACCCCTCGTGTATTGTATTGTTACTGTATTGTCTCATGTACTGTCCCCCACTATATATGTACAGCGCTGAGCAAACGTTTTTGTGCTATATAAATACTGTATAATAATAATAATAATACTCCTCTAACTCTCTACTTTATATGAGCACAATTGGTTAGACGTGCTCCTCAAACTCTCCACCTTTTCTTCTCCAAAATGCCATTTTTTACTCATTAGACTTCTTAAAAGCATGATTTTTACTTTAACACTCTGGATTATGAATGTCCCAATAATTATGCAGTACATATACAGCAGCCCAACAGCTTACACTCTTCTAGAGCTCTTTGTTTATTACAGTGCAACTGAACCCACAAATTTAACTTTTTTTTTAAAAAAAAAAAGCTCATATTAGAAATGTTCAATAAACGTTATTTAAATCTTTAATGAAAAATATGTTTTGTGCAGTGTTTTCATCTACATTCTGCCTACTAGCATATGTGCAGTGTTACAGAACTGTCACAGTTGCCAGCATCTATATATTAGTTCTCAAACTTTCAAGCCCTCAAATGGCTGAGGTTTTATGCAGCTGATAACATTTACAGCATCATGGAAACTGTGGATTTGAATAGAGGCCAAGAATGTTCTGTCCTTGATGGACAGGAGGGTTTAGTTCCACTTTTGCTGAGGCTGTCATATCTATAGTGGCAGTGGCAGCCTCTAGAGCTCTCTCAGGACAAAGGCACCGGGAAAATGTTGCCCTTGCAGTTCAATATTTCTAAATGTAAAATAATGTACCTAGGGAAAAAGAATCCCTTGAGAGAGTACAATATTTGGGGTACAGTGTTGTCCAGCCCTTCAGAGGAAAAGGACTTGGAGGTACTTATTTCAGGTGATTGCAAAATGAGCAAACAGTATGGCCAGGCAGTGGGGAAAGCAAATAGAATTCTAGGATGCATCACTAGATGGATCACCAGCAGGAAGAAGGAGGTCCTGTTTCCCTATATAGATCTTTAGTTAGACCTCATTTATAATACTGTGTCCAGTTCTGGAGACCTCACTTACAAAAAGAAATTGATAAGATAGAACGAGTCCAGAGATGGGTAACAAAAATGGAAAAAGGTCTGAGAGATAAAACATTTCAAGAGTGACTTCAGGAACTTAACATGTACAGTCTGGAGAAAAAAAGGGAAAGGGGATACATGATTGAAACCTTTAAATACATCAAGGGATGAATAAGGTTCAGGAGGACAGGATTTTCAACACTAAATCAAAATCAAGAACACGGGGACATGACCTTAAACTAAATGGAGGAAAGTTCAACACTAATCCCAGAAAGTACTATTTTACTGAAAGAGTAGTTGATGCTTGGAATAAACTTCCTGCAGAGGTAGTGAGCCAGTCAACAGTAAATAGCTTCAAGCATAGATCTATATTCAGACAAAAAAGTTAAAAAAAAAAAAACACCCCCCCCAAAAAAGCCCACACAAAAGACCCCCCAAAAATCAATCAGACTCAATGAACCACTCTGACTTTTTCTGCCATCATGTTTCTATGAATCCAATGATACACAATATCTCTGCTTACCATGGATTAGCTGTTAGGAGTGCCCCCGAATGGTACAAGAACAAGCCCCATCCTTTTGAGCCCCTTCTGAGCAACGCTATCTCTCATCGCCACAGATGATCTCAGCATATACATGCTCTCTCTTCAGTTGCAGCCACTGAGCTCATCTGCTCAGCTGATTGTAAAATGCTCTTAGGTGGGGCTCGGAAGAAGGACAGCACTCGCACCTTTACTGCTAGGGGCGCTGGTCCGTCCTAGAGAAGAGGACAGGACAGAGCTGTATAAAATATCAGAAGCAATCAGGGCAGTCTTCGCTCTGTGTATAAATGACCTACAGGTATAGGAGGCGCATAGAAGCACATTTTCACAATCGGGATACTTTAGAATTATGTAATGGTGTTTGTGGGCTGCATATTTTTTGTTTATAAAAATTAAAAAAAGACTTTAAATAAAAAATGTCTATTGAACTACCTTTCTGTCTATTTTACAGCATGACAACTCAAACCAACCTGCAAATGTGTTTAATTGGGATCTAGGTAATGCAAATTTTGATAAAAGCCCTGGCTGACCCACTGTTCATCTGGGTCATGTAAACAAGAAAAAAACAGGATGGCACAACCTTGATATATCAGGGTACCAGAAAATCCTTGCTTATTACTGGCTTTGCAAAACCCAAAAAATCAGAATTGATGCATTAGTAAAGATATTACCAGGCTTAACTGCAGTGTATATACAAATCCTTGATCGTAGTGTATTCACAAATGATCATTTACTTATTAAATATACAGTGTACTTTAAAGAATAAGCCGTACCCTTCACTCTTCTTATACAGAAAACCAGACTTCTCTGTTCCATGCTGTTTGTCCCCTTGCTGTTGGTGCAAGTTGTACCCAGAATCTTTTCTATTTAATCCATCCTAAAACATACAGAAAGTGCAATGTAAAGCAGAGGGCTGGGTATTACAGCACTGTTCCCAAATAACAAAACGTCTTCTCAAGAAACATCTAACATATTTTTTTTTTCTTATTCACTTTAATCAGTTATGTGTCTGATTCTAATGAGCTCCCCACCTCTTTAGCTTCTAATTGTAGTTGCTTCTGAAGATTTTCTCTAGCTTCTGAGAGTTTTTTCAACTCTTCATCTTGAGTCTGGTGAACCTACAAGTACATCACAAAGCGTTCCCTTTCATAAATGGAGCAAGCACAAGAGGTATGGCAATACCCTTTATCAAAAAGCATGCCCTACAGAACGCCATTGAGAATGATACTCACAGTATGCAAAGAAGAAGATAAACTTCTCAATGAAAGGAAGGAGACTTTGTGTAGCATTTAATCCATCCTGAAAAAAGCTAAATCGAAAATATTAGTGTCATATAAAGCCATAATTAGACAGTAGATCAAAGCATTACACAAACTGATGGGGAAGGAGCAATATCATATGACATAAGGAAGAAAGAGGAGCAATACATTTTGGTTTGTCCTGTAGATGCAAGGAGTTGACAGGTACTCTTTACATGTGACCAACAGGTCTGGGGGGTTTTCCCTGTTTTACAGGACTTTATCTTAGGTTAAGCAGGAAATTGCACCCTGGGCCATTAGGGGAACTTCACAGTGTCAGTGAGGATAGGTTGGAGTTATCCTGACAGACGATCTCTGTGAAAGTGGAGGGAGCTCTTGTTATACAAGCTTGAAGAGATGCCTGGATAATGCCGAAGGTGGTTCAGAATGTGAGCTTAAACACTGTTCTATTTAGAAGAAGGTAGGAAAGCAAGCATAGCCAAGCAATTTTATATAGATGGATCGAATCTCGGATTGTTCAGCAGGCACTAGCCGACATTCAGTCCATCTATGGGCAAGCAGTTTGTACTGATCCATTGATCGTCTTCAGTACAACCAACATATCCTATTTTTTTATGTGATCACTGCCTGGGGCTAGAGCAGCCGGCAGTGATCATTGTGTTATGCAAATGGGGAAAGCTCTCTGCAGGCAGAATACAATAGCGCAGCTGGAGGGATTCCTCCATCAACACTGACTGTGTTGATGGGGTATTCGAGCCACTTTCTTTCCTTCCACCTCTGATGGAAGGAAAAAAATTGTATGATCCATAGCTGTGGTCTCAAAATCTGCAGCCCTTTGCTTGTCTTTATCTAGCCCTTGGGGCACTTTTCCTCCCACCAAGACACTATTCCTCCCACCAACACCAACAATGGGGCATAATTTCTGTTACTGACAACAACAGGAACTTTTTCCCATTAGCACCAATGATGGGGTACTATGCCCCTGACTGACACTAACGATGGGGCACCATTCTTCCCCCAATGCCAAAGATGCACTGTTTACTCCCACTGATGCCAAGACGGTTTCTACTCCCAATGGCCACAGTCTGGCCCCACTAAAGTCTGAAGGACAGTAAAAATTGGCCATTTGTTTAGATGCTTTGGAGACCCCTGATCTATAGCTTGCTTTAATCTACGAGTGCTATCCTGGAGGTGGGTCAACAGAGAATACTGAGAGAGAGCAGTTGTGTGCCGTCACCACTCAGTACCACAGATTCCAAACATGGAAATTGTATTGGTTTGTAATAGTAGATCAATTTTCCCTTATTTTAGTGAATGAAATGAAGCTCTACTTACATCCATCATCCAATCATATGCAAGCAAAAATACTGTTTTTTTGTTCCTTGCATGTGATTGGGTATACTTTGCAAAGTGCATTTTTACCACATTCACCAAACTAAAGGAAAATTCCCTTGCAAAGTGAACAAGCTATCTACTTTTAGAAAATCAACCCTTTTCTTTCATAAAGAGCGATTTGTGGCACAAAACCTTCATGCGCACAAATCCTTTATGACATCAATTAGTAAAAAAGTCAGAATGCTCTCCAAAGATGCAGCGATCAATTATTGTTCTTTTTTGTTGTCGTCAGGAGAAACTAAATGTCCCTAAACCGGAGTACCCAGAGGAAACTCACGCAAGCACAGGGAGAACATGCAAACTCCAGGGAGGTGGTGCCGTGGTTGGGATTTGAACTAACTACCCTAGTATTGCCAGGCAGAAGTGCTAACCATTTAGCCACTGTGCTGCCTCATCAGACCTGTAGTGTGCTCCTACCATATTCTTTGACATGACAACACAGCTTTAAATTCCTAAGCATGTGGTGTCAGCCCTGACTAATATCCTATTTCCAAATTATACAGATTTCTGCTCATCTTCTCCCATCTCCTCCCCTTCCTCATTTCCATAACCCAAGATGTTATCAGCTCACAAGATTTCTGGCAAAATCAACAAGTATTTTTTGCACTCATCAAACAAATATAAAAAAAAAAACGTTCAGTGGTATATTTAGTAGACCAAAATGGAGTGAACAAGAGAAGTTCATTGTTAGGGTTTACATCCACCTTAAGAACTGAGTGAATTTTGGGCAGATCCATAAGTATTGTTCTGTACTTGTAGGGTATTTAAAGGGATAAATACATCTCAATTTAATGCAGAGATGTACTGCATATGTTTTTTTTTCTGCATTGACATAAAGTTGAGGTATTCAGGCAATAGAGGGTGCTGCAGTTGCTGAATACAATGGCCGGCAGTAGAGATTCCTTCATCGTATCATTAAGCCCCTGCGAGGCTGAACAAGACATATCAAGCCGTGTAGCTAGAGTAAGGCAGCGCATAGATGATTCATTTTTTTTTTCATTCAACCAGTAGGTTGAACAAAAAAAAAAACAATTCCCTATCCATACACTCGAGTTACATCTGGGAATCCACTGTGCCTTTGTATTCTGAAAGCAGGGAAACTTCTCCGCTGTCAGAATACACAGATCAGTCTTGCTGGCTATAGCTGGCAGTGCTGATGGAGCGGAAATACTCCAGCAAGGCGGTTGCACAGAAGTTGACCGGTAGATCGACTTCTGTAAAACCACCATGCCCATACATGGATTTAAGTTTGTCCGGTTCAGCAGGGAATTAAAATCCATATATGGCTAGGCCAAAATTGTCATTTCAAGTATTTGATCTGTGGATAGTAGCTTTCTATTTACAGGTTAAGCATGCAAAGACTGCTGTGTGTCTATTTTTTCGTCTTTGTTATCTTGTGCAATATTTGCACTAGACATCGAGTCTGAGTGTGTGGGGGTGTCATAAACCAGATGTCAATCGGTGACACCTAACCATATACATTATAAAAATAGAAAAAACCCTGCAATATTAGCACTCATAATTATAAATGAATAAATAATAAGTCAAATTGAATCAGGAAAGCAGCTACCACCCAGCTGTACAATCACTCCACTGTGTTGATGAATCAAAACCAAATACAGGTGAAGTGCTTCCAATATGACATAAATCAAATATCATATAACCTCACACCATAATCCTTTATCATAAACAGATCCCCCCAGTATTCAGTATCCTTTTGTGAGTGGGCAAAGAAAAAAAATAAATAAATATATATATATATATATATATGTATATATATATATATATATATATATACAGTGGGGCAAAAAAGTATTTAGTCAGCCACCAATTGTGCAAGTTCTCCCACTTAAAAAGATGAGAGAGGCCTGTCATTGGCATCATAGGTAGAACTCAACTATGAGAGACAAAATGAGAAAAAAAAATCCAGACAATCACATTGGCTGATTTGGAAAGAATTTATTTGCAAATTATGGTGGAAAATAAGTATTTGGTCACCTACAAACAAGCAAGATTTCTGGCTCTCACAGACCTGTACCTTCTTCTTTAAGAGGCTCCGCTGTCCTGCACTCATTACCTGTATCAATGGCACCTGTTTGAACTTGTTATCAGTATAAAAGACACCTGTCCACAACCTCAAACAGTCACACTCCAAACTCCACTATGGTGAAGACCAAAGAGCTGTCAAAGGACACCAGAAACAAAATTGTAGACCTGCACCAGGCTGGGAAGACCGAATCTGCAATAGGCAAGCAGCTTGGTATGAACAAATCAACTGTGGGAGCAATAATTAGAAAATGGAAGACATACAAGACCACTGATAATCTCCCTCGATCTGGGGCTCCACGCAAGATCAAAATGATCACAAGAACGGTGAGCAAAAATCCCAGGACCACACGGGGGGACCTAGTGAATGACCTGCAGAGAGCTGGGACCAACGTAACAAATTCTACCATCAGTAACACACTACGCCGCCAGGGACTCAGATCCTGCAGTGCCAGACGTGTCCCCCTGCTTAAGCCAGTACATGTTCGGGCCCATCTGAAGTTTGCTAGAGAGCATTTGGATGATCCAGAAGAGGATTGGGAGAATGTCATATGGTCAGATGAAACCAAAATAGAACTGTTTGGTAGAAACACAACTCGTCGTGTTTGGAGGAGAAAGAATGCTGAGTTGCATCCAAAGAACAACATACCTACTGTGAAGCATGGGGGTGGCAACATCATGCTTAGGGGTTGTTTCTCTGCAAAGGGACCAGGACGACTGATCCATGTACAGGACAGAATGAATGGGGCCATGTATCGTAAGATTTTGAGTGCAAACCTCCTTCCATCAGCAAGGGCATTGAAGATGAAACGTGGCTGGGTCTTCCAACATGACAATGATCCCAAACATACCGCCCGGGCAACGAAGGAGTGGCTTCGTAAGAAGCATTTCAAGGTCCTGGAGTGGCCTAGCCAGTCTCCAGATCTCAACCCCATAGAAAACATTTGGAGGGAGTTGAAAGTCCGTGTTGCCCAGCGACAGCCCCAAAACATCACTGCTCTAGAGGAGATCTGCATGGAGGAATGGGCCAACATACCAGCAACAGTGTGTGCCAACCTTGTGAAGACTTACAGGAAACGTTTGACCTCTGTCATTGCCAACAAAGGATATATAACAAAGTATTGAGATGAACTTTTGATATTGACCAAATACTTATTTTCCACCATAATTTGCAAATAAATTCTTTCCAAATCAGCCAATGTGATTGTCTGGATTTTTTTTCTCATTTTGTCTCTCATAGTTGAAGTCTACATATGATGCCAATTACAGGCCTCTCTTGTCTTTTTAAGTGGGAGAACTTGCACAATTGGTGGCTGACTAAATACTTTTTGCCCCACTGTATATACGCACATAGTATAGCTTTTAAAGCATAAAAAAAACAAAACATAACATATAGTCCAATGTGAGAGTCCCATACACCAACCAACTTGGTGCAATCTTCAGTCGATATATTAATTCTTGTCAGAACAATAATATGACTTTTTTCAGCGTGAACAAACACCACCGTGCCCTTCACCACACCTCATGGGTATCTCCTCACCTTATATCATGGACCCCACTGCAAAAGGAGGGTCAATTGCGATTTTATATTAGAGACCAGGGTCTTCTTCAGCATTCTCCTAGTCATTACGGATCTCCCAGGAACAGATATATTAAAAAGAAGCAAAGAAACATCCAATAGTGCAGACCGCTAGTTTATTTCCATAAGAGAGGTAAAATTCCACTCACATGTTAAAAAGTTCATAGAGGCATGTCACAGGCTATTAGCATACTCAGCTTTCTGACTATGTCAATCAGGATGCAGTAGATACATAAAAGCGTTGTGTTATTGACTAGCCTGAGCCTCTGAGAAAGCGGACTGGGGCGCAACACATCAGCCAGGCAGTGAACTCATCACGCTGGACGAAGCTTAGGTGCCATTTTGGAAAGTTAAATTTCGTTATAAATTTAGGCCAAAATTTATTCAGCTACATGTCTGTGCTAAAAAAAATCCCAATACGTGTAAATTAATAGGTTTACGTGAAAGTTATAGCGTTTACAAATGGCAGTATATATACTGGGATTTTTTTTTTTTTTCAATTTTTACTAGTAATTGCAGCGATCAGCAACTTATAGCGGGACTGCGGCAGGCATTCTGACACTGGGGGGAACTGACTTGGTGTCACTGACATCCCCAGTGACACCAATACAGTGATCAGTGCCAATAAAAAGCACTGACACTGAACTAATGGCACTGGGCAGGAAGGGGTTAACATGTGGGGCGATCAAAGGGTTAACTGTGTGCCATTTTACATTGTGTGCTGAGTGTGTGCTTCACTGTAAACACACTGCTTTGCATGGCTGTGCATAGCAATGTGCAGGAGCTGACAGGAGAGAGAACTGTATTGCTTACAAACAGTTCTCTCCACCCCTGTCAGAGATGCTCGGCAATTACTGGGCGCCATCGAGTAATCACCGGCCGGGACCCAGTGATTGAGAGCTGAGGCCGTGAATGGCGGCGCGTGCAGGGTGCACGCCCCCTACCCAGAACTGCAAAATCACTGACTTGGTGTCACTGGCATCCCAGCGACACCAATGCAATGATCAGTGCTAATAAAAAAGCATTGACGCTGGACTATTGGCATTGGGCAGGAACGGGTTAACGTGGTGTTATATAAGGGTTAACTGTGTGCCATTTTACATTGTGTGCTGTGTGTGTGCTTTACTGTAAGGAGCTGACGGGGAAGAGAACTGTATTGTTTACAAACAGTTCTCCCCATCTCCGTCAGAGATGCTCGTCTCTCAGCCGCAACCCGGTGATTGACAGCTAAGACCACGAATACCCAGAACTGCAAAATCACGCACATATATGTGATTTTGCGCACCCGTGACGCTCAGTAGCAGTACAGATGTGAAGCGGTTAGGAGCTACACTGTATATATATATTTTTTTTGGTTTGTTTGTTGTTTTATTTATTTGTTTTTTTCTTTTGTTTTTTGTTTTTGTTTTCTTTTTGCACATTCACACAAATGATACCAAATACAGGGGGGAATCTGTTTATGATAAAAGGTTAGGATATGAGGTTATATGATATTTGATTTGTTAGGTCATATTAGATGAGCTTCACCACTATTTGATCTTAACCATATACATTAACATCTATTCTCACATTACACCTAAAATGTTACATTTTCTCATTCTCCTGCATGATAAAGCATGGGAGAAGGTTGCTATCTAGGTAAAGTAAAGATATAGTACAAAATAGTGTAGACTGCAGTATGTGAAGGTTTGTCCCCATCCCAAACACAGCATTCGGCTGCTTTCTGTTCCTTGTACTTCAAGGCTTGAACCTGGAAATGACACTTGCAGCACTGAGTGGTCCTTGTAGAGAAGGTAACACAAGATAAGGTGGAAATGCTATTAGCTGTCATTTGTGCCATACTTACTTTCGCTGCGCATGGAAAGCTTTGATAAGGCACTCTAAGAAATCAGGGCCTTGTTTCATTTGCAGCTCTCCTAGTTTTAGAAGATACTGAGAAAAGAGCACAATAAAGAAAAAGAGCAATATGAGCCGGGGCAATCCATTTTCAAGGACACAGAAGTGGCAGGCTATTTAGAGCCTGTCTATCCCTGCCTCCCCTCGCTGCCTTTTCCTCCATTGCTCACCTCAGACGAGTGAAGCTGAAACAGTTTTCTTTCCCTGTCGGCATCGTCTGTGCTGTCTGATTCTGGACGAGGCCCCCCTGAGCGAGCTTTCTTTGTCCTGCAGGGAGAGAGGAAGATTTGTAGACTTTGGTCCAGCCTTATCATTCCTATCACATGCAAAGCGAGTCCAATCTTCTACAATCACCCAAGAAGCATTGAATCATGAAAGTAGCAGTGGTTAGGAAGGAAATAATATGGAAAGTCACTGTGTTCTCAGCTCTATCTATTTTGACTATAAGAGGAGCAAAAAAAAGCAATAATATGGAAGACATAAAGCAACCCATAGATGATTCAGTTTTTGTGGTTTAAACAAAAAAAAAAAACAAAAAAAAAACGGCCCGATTCCCCAATCCACACATTTGAGGTGGATGGGGGAATCACACCCGCTGAGCTTTGTGTTCTAACAGCGGAGAGATTTCCAGCCATCCTAAAGCAGGCCATAGACCGGGAGAAAACGGGACTTTTTTTTTTTTTAAACGGAAAATCGGTCGTTCAATCAGCCGACATTACCACTATTGGTAAAAAAAAAAAAAAGTCGGCTGATTTTCGTCCCGTCTACAGCCGGCAATTATATAGAATATATGCAGAAGAAGAAATAGAATATGAATAAAAAGAAAAATAGAATATGAATAAAAAGAAGAAATAGAATATAAAGAAGAAGAAATAGGATATGAATAAAAAGAAATAGAATATGAATAAAAAGAAGAAATAGAATACAAATAAAAAGTAGAAATAGAATATGCAGAAGAAGAAGAAATAGAATATGAATAAAAAGAAGAAATAGAATATGCAGAAGAAGAAGAAATAGAATATGCAGAAGAAGAAGAAATAGAATATGAAGAGGAAGAAGAAATAGAATACGAATAAAAAGAAGAAATAGAATATGCAGAAGAAGAAGAAATTGAATATAAATAAATAGAAGAAATAGAATATGCAGAAGAAGAAGAAGAAGAAAAAGAAGTTGCAACATTGTATCTATTTGTATCATTTCGGATACAAATGTTTCTATTTGGATACAAATAGATACAATGTTGCTATACTTTTAAAGGTCAAATAAAATATTGGACTGATTTTCTATTTTTTCTTCTTTTTCTTCATATTCTATTCTTCTTTTTTTCATATTCTATTTCTTCTTCATCTTGATATTCTATTTCTTCTTCATCTTGATATTCTATTTCTTTTACTTCTTGATATTCTATTTCTTTTTCTTCTTGATATTCTGTTTCTTATTTTTCTTCATATTCTATTTTCTTTTAAATCAGCAAAAAGGTCGGCCGATTTGTACATAATTGCCGAGAAAATCGGCCGAACGACCAAATTGGCCGACGATTTTCCAGCAGGGGCGATTTTTTAAAAGTTTCAAATTCACGAAAAACGGCCGACAAATTTCCCCACTAACGATTCGAATATCGGCAGATTTTTTTATTGGCCGAAAATTCGGCCACTTTATCGCAAGTCTATGGCCTGCATAATACACGGATCAGCACTGCCAGTTACAGCCAGCGGTGCTGCTCGAACAGCATTTATTCGACAGGCTGGTTGTACAGAAGATGATCAGTAGATTTACGTATTATTATTATTACTATTCAGGACTTATATAGCACCAACAGTTTGCATAACACTTTACAATATAAAGGGAGACAGTACAGATACAATACAATCAAAACAAGAGGATTAAGAGGGCCCTACCCATAAGAGCTTACAGTCTAACAGGGTGGGGCAAGTAGTACAAAGGTTATAACTGTGAGGGATGAGCTGATGGCAGTGATAAATGTCTATTCAGAGGCGTGAGAGGCTTTCCTGAAGAGATAAGTTTTCAGGGATTGCCTAAAGGCAGCCAGAGTAGAGGATAGCCCGACAGATTGAGGTAGAGAGTTCCAGATGATGGGAGAGGCTCTAGCAAAGTCCTGGACAACCAGCCTGCTCGTGTATGGATCACTATTTGGCTAGTCCCTGCTGAACTGGCCAAATTTCGATCCGTATGTGGCCAGCTTTACACAGAGAAACAAATCCTGTTCGTTATTGCTAAATATAAAACAAACCAAATCAATTTTATAATAATAATATAATAAATAATTTTAATTTTAAAGTCTTTTTAGCTAAAAAAAAAAAAAAAGTGACAGAAAGCACCTTGGGTCAAACACTATTACAGAGAAATTTCATCTTACAGCCTAGCTCCACAAAACTTTTCTTTTAGTTTTAAAAAGAGTGGAAAAGGGTTAGAACTTTTGTGGTGTTTTTTGTGCTGTCTCTGTCCCCCTTATGGAAGTTTACCCTCGCTTCCTGTCCCATTCTCACAAGGACATCTCTCTAATACAGACAAAGACAGCAGCAAAAGCAAATGTATTTCACTGAGCAGAAGAGGGTTAGAACCTCTGTGTGTTTTTAATGGCACTCTTTGCCTGTTTGCCCTGGAGACACCCTTCATTTCTTCTTGGTGTTACTGGAACAAGAAATAAGAGGTCTCTCCCCAATGGAAACAGATGGCAGAATTGCTGACACTTCTGAATCAAAAGCTAACAAAAAGTTGTGGCTGGATTTAAAGTATAACTAAAGGCAAAACTTTTTTTTGTTTCAGTTTTGAATGGAACAAAGAGGGATTAGAACCCCTGTAATTTTATTGCCCCTGTTAAAGAGGTTTACCCTCCCTATTCGTCCTGTTTACCATTAACATTGAAGTAAAGCAAACAGATGGCGAAAAAGATTCTGACAGAGGTTATAACCCTCCCTTACTCTATCCAAAATGGAGAAAACAAAAGTATAATTTTGGGTTGTCCCCAGAAAAGTAATAGAGGGGAAATCTTCCAATGGGGACACTAGTTCTGGTCATCTGGGGGTCCCCAAGAAATTTCCTTAATTTGCAGGGATTTTCTCTCACTTCCTGTTTGGCAATGGGACAGGAAGTGAAGAGAAATTGCCACAATGGGACACAGATGGCGAAAAAAAATCTGACAGGGGTTATAACCCCCCCTTACGCTATCCAAAATGAAGAAAAAAAAAGTTTTGCCTATACTTCTACTTTAAGCTTTAAATATTTAATATGATGGCCAGGTTTGCTTTTAACCACCTTCCGTCCGGCCATTGTATATAAACGGCCGGACGGTGGCACTGCAGAGTCGGGTGGCCGTTTATAAACGGCCTCACCGCACCCTGCTTGTGCGCACTCCCAGGAGCGCGCAGCACCGCAATCCGGTGCCCGCTGTGTCCTCCAGACACAGTGAAACACCCATTGTCGGACGGGACCTCTGTACGAGGTCCCGATCATGTGATCACTGATTGGCCAATCAGTGATCACATGCAAAGTAGTAAGGAAGATGTCACTTCTGACATCATTGCTTAGTACGTGTGAAATCTGTGAATGATCACAGAGGTCACATGGTACAAGGCTATTCACAACAGCCTTGTACTATGTGACAAGCTGTGACCAATCACAGCTCACTCAGTAGTTCTCAATGGCTGCAAGAATGCAGACAGAGAGAAAGAGAAATGATTGCTTTTACATCCTATATGGGTGTAATAGCAATCAGTGTAAAAAAAAAAAAAAAAAAAATCTTCATCACCCCCCCACAAGTAGTACAGTGTCACCATGGTGACACTGTAATTCTAGGGTGACAGTATGTAAAAAATAAATAAATAATAAAATAAACAATAATATAAAAAATGTAAAAAAAAATGTTTAAAAATTATAATTTTTGGTTATAAACTAATTTGGCTTATTTTTTTTTTTTTTACTAAAAAGATAACGGAATAAATTTTGGCCAAGATTTATGAAGAAAGATTATTTATTTGCAAAATTTTATAAGAAAAACACTTTTTTTCAAAATTTTTGGACATTTTCATTTACATAGCAAAAAAATAAAAATCCCAGCAGTGAATAAATACCACCAAAATAAAGTTTTATCTGTCTCAAAAAAATGGTAAAAAATTCATATGGGTACAGTGTTGCATGACCGCGCAATTGTCATTTAAAGTGTGATAGCGCTGAAAGCTGAAAATTGCCCTGGTCAGAAAGGGGGTAAAAGTGTCCGGACTGGAAGTGGTTAAGGAGGCACACCAATTCTTCTCTGTTTCAGATACCAGCTACATATACATTTTTGTTTTTTTTTTATGCTATATAGAAAAGCCTACACAAACAAATCTGTGGTCATAAGCAGGGCACTGGAAAACTATCCAGAACTGAAATGTAACCTTTCAGAAGGTGCAAACAACCATTAGAAATTTTTCAAAGGGGTCAATACGCCTGAAATGACATCTTAAACAAAAAGCAAATAATTTTTCTATTGGACGTTTTCCGCACCTTTCCACTCTAATAACATTTCTTGGGTGAGTTCATTTTTATGGCCTCAGCTGGGAGGAACTGCTTTAGATTACTTTACAGGATGTTTTGTGTAAATATCACCCTTGGAAAGTGACAGTTAGGACTCCATGATCTCCTGTCTCAGAAGCTTCGCAAGCTTTGTATCCTCTTTTCTAAAAGCCAGCCTGTATTTTATGGCTCACGCACACAGGGCATTTGGTGAGTTTTTTTTCTGCCTGTAAACACACCTCTAGGATAGCCATGCACACATACGCATTTACAGGCGGGTTAGAACAGGTTAGTTTACAAGCAAAAAAAAAAAAAAAATCATCACCAGCATGTTCAAGAGAGGAGCTTTTGGGCAGAAAAAACGCTTGATGTGTAATTGCGTCTTTACGTGCTTAACCACTAGCCTACTGGGCACTTATACTCCCTTCCTGGCCAGGCCTATTTTCAGCTTTTAGCACTGTAGCACTTTGAATGACAACTGCGCGGTCATGCAACACTGCACCCATATGGGCACTGATAGGCGGCACTGATAAGCGGCACCTATAGGCGGCACTGATGATGCTTCACTGATATGCAACAATGATGGGCACTGATAGGCGGCACTGCTGGGCACTGATAGGGGGCATTGATGGGTGGCACTGACAGACAGTACTGACTGGCAGCACTGCTTGGCACTGACTGGTGGCACTGCTGGGCACTGATGGGTAGCACTGCTGGGCACTGGTGGGTGGCACTGCTAGGCACTGATGGACACAGGTGGGTGGCACAGTTTGGCACTGATGGGCACAGGTGGGTGGCACTGATGGGTAGCACAGATGGGCAGCACTGATGGGCGGCACTGATGGGCACTGGTCGGTGGCACTACTAGGCACTGATGGACACAGGTGGGTGGCACAGTTTGGCACTGATGGGCACAGGTGGGTGGCACTGGACACTTGTGGGTGGCACTGCTGAGCACAGGTGGGCAGCACTGGTGGGCACTAATCATCAGTGCCCTGATGATCGGTTCCAATCAGTCCTCTGATAATTGCTGGTTATCAGCAGTACTTTCCTCACGCTGTGACAGTGTGAGGAAAGTGCAGCCGATAACCGGCAAATGCATTTACCTGTGATCTGCTGTGTCATTGGACACAACTGATCATGTGGTAAAAGGCTGCTATGATTGGCCTTTTACCACATCACGTGATCACGTGTCCGTAGGACACAGTGATCACGGAGATCTCCAGGTGCTTGCCCCCGGGGGGAGCGCGCTTTTTGGGAGGACGTCATATGACGCCCTCCCAGAACTGGCCGGCCATGGTGAAGCTGTCATTCGGCTATCTGCGGTTGGCAAGTGGTTAAAGAAGAGATCCAGCCAAAAGATGTATTTTCTCATGCAGTGGGGCTGTGCCCACACTGCATGGATTAAATGTTCATTTTTGTTTAGGGGATCTTAAACTGAGATATACTTACTTAATCCGATGATTCTTCGAGTGCAGGACCCAGGGCCGGGACAAGGGGTAGCTGCCCTGAGCACAGAGGTTTACTGCAGGAATGGGGGTGCCTTCCTTCTGTTACAAGGCTGACAGGAGTAGTGACAGCGGCAGTGATGTTGAGAAGCGAGCGACTGCTGGGCGCAGGATCCCCTAAACTTGCACATCGTTAACCGGGGAGGGTTGGGGGCGCAGTTTGGCATCTTTGTCCTAGACGCTAGACAACCTTGTCCTGGCACGACTGGTCCCCGCCGCTCCTTCCCCACTGCATGCTAGCAGTCTTGTGAATGGGCTGTTCCTGACGTCATCACACCCGTAGACCTGCTCCAGATGTGAGGACAGCAGGAAAAGTCCACCGCTGGACATGGGGGAGCACAGTTTTCCGGAGGATCGGAGGAAGGGGTAAGTATAGCTTTTCCCTAAGCTTGCACATCATGAACCGGGGGGAGCACAGTCTGGCATCTTTGCACTAGGCGCTGGATGACTTTGTCCTGGCACTGGCAAGCCTGGTCTCCATAACTCCTTGCACCCTGAATGCTAGCGGTCTTGTGAATGGGCTGTTTCTGAAGTCATCAAGCCCATAGACCTGCTCCAGACACAAGGCCGGCAGGAAAAGTCCACCGCTGGACGTGGGGGGAGCACAGTTTTCCAGAGGATCGGAGGAAGGGGCAAGTATAGCTTTTCCCTAAGCTTGCACATCATGAACCAGGGGGTGCAGTTTGGCATCTTCGCCCTGAGCGCTGGACGACCATGTCCTGGCCCTGGCAAGACCAATCCCCGCTGTTCCCACCCCCTTGCATGCTAGTGGTCATGTGAATGGGCTGTTCCTGGTGTCATCAAGCCCACGGACCTGCTCCAGACATGAGGATGGCAGGAACAGTCCACCGCTGGACATGGGGGAGCACAGTTTTCTGGAGGATGGGGTAAGTATAGCTTTTCCCTGAGCCCCTAGACAAAATGAGTAGTTAACCCATGCAGTGCAGACACAGCCCCACTGCATGAAAAAATAAAAAAAATAACTGGGCGTTATGCTTTTAGAGCTTGAGCATTCTTTCATTCCAATGGCTAGAATACATTAACATTTGGGCCCATGGAATCCACAAACGTTCAAAAACTTGACACACCTAAACACGTGTGCAAGCAGCTTTATGTGCATGTTTTATGCAGCTTTTTCCTGCTAAACGTAAAAGGCGTTCAGAGGAGAAATTAAAATACCCAATGTGCATGAGGCCATACATTTAGTGACCCTAAAACACTCTACAGCCAGTGCCAGGCTAACCATTAACTAACAGATGGTGTCCCTTCTCTATAGGTGACCCCACTTTCAATGAATTTGGGATCATGTGGCAAATGCCGCTTATTATACAGGAAACAGAAGCAAACTTGTCTTCAGAGCATTCACTAATAGAAGGGTTTTTCCTTTGCATTGTGTAAAAAGGCTGTTTGATCCTGACTTCTCTAATTCTCCCCTTCTTCCAGTGTCCCCCTTTTATCTTCTGATAGGACATATGGTGTGGCGTCACTCTGCACATGCTCAGTTTGGTGTGCATTGCTAGAGAGGCTATTTTTCTTGGGAGAGTGCATGTGATCAGGTCAGGGGTCCTGCATCCTACCTAGAGCAAAATGAAAACACCTCCTACAAGCTTTAACATGTGGTCGGCTGAACACTGATAGAAGTCACAAGACTGCTATATACTGCTGATGAGAAAAGGTATTTAGCAGTTTCTATTTACTAAAATAATTGCATTTCCATGTTCTGTGTACTGTGGGAGACCAGATATAGTGAATGCAGGGTCCTGGGTTTAGTAACACTTTCATGTATTTGCTACTGTTCCAGCTCTTGGTTAGGACTGTGCCCACATTGGTTACAGCATGTTGTTTAGCATTGAATTGTAGAGACTGGAGTGACAAGACCGGTTGTCATTTAATGGCACTGTGACAGCATTAATACAAAAAAATGTATGCCACGCTTCAAAATTCAGCTCTTCTTTCTGTGTTTAATAAGCAAGCCAGCAGTGGTGAAAAGCATCAGAGAAAGTTGGTTTCAGGTGGAAACATTATTCTATGCAGTCTTTTTTTGACAATTATTAACCACTGGCAATTGCGCGGTCATGCAACACTGTACCCACATGAAATTTATACCATTTTTTCACACAGTTAAGAGTTTTCTTTTGGTGGTATTTGATCACCACTGGGTTTTTATTTTTTATTATAACCAAAAAAAGACCAGAAATTTTTTGGGAAAAAAACATTTTCTGTTTTAAAATATTACCAATAAAAAAAACAAATGCCTATTTCTTCATAAATTTATTCCCAGAGATGTGGGAAATCAACCTTTAATTGCCATTTTAACCTGTGTGTGTCAACTTCTGTGTCTGTACCAAGGCCAAACATTCCAGGGTATGTAAACTTTTGATCAGGGCCATTTGGGTGATTTCTCTTATCATTATGATTTAAAAAAGAAGCCAAACAACTATTTGATACTAAATGTCTTCATATGATCACTATTCTTAAACTGTTACTAAACCCGGGACCCTGCATTCACTATATCTGGTCTCTCACAGTACACAGAACATGGAAATGCAATTATTTTAAATATAAACTGCTAAATACCTTTTATCATCAGCAGTTAGAGTAGTCTTTTGACTTCTATCAGTGTCCAGCAGAGCACTGGTTAAAGCTTGTAGGAGGAGTTTTCTCTAGGAGGATGCAGAACCCCTGACCTCTCTGTGAGCATTGCTGATTGGTCCTGTGCTGATCACATGCCCTCTCCCAAGAAAATAAAAATCATCTCCAGCAATACATACCAAACTGAGCATGTGCAGTGTCTCCATACGATATGTCTTATCAGGAGATAAGAGGGGTGAACTGGAAGAAGGGGAAGATCAGAAAGATAGAATCAGACATCCTTTTTACACAATACAGAGGATTAACCCACAGTGAGTATAACAAGCATGCTTTACTGCATATACAGACTGATTTTACTGTTGTGGGTTTAGTAACAAAAATTCACGATTTCTACCAGGGTGTGCAAACTTTTCAGCACAACTGTATACGCATGCATGCGTGTAAACTACTGCACTCAAGGGCAGCACAGCAGCTAAATGGTAAGCGCTTCCGACTGGCAGTACTAGGGTTGTTGGTTTGAATCCCATCCATGGCACCACTCGCCTGGACTAAGCATGTTCACCCTGTGCCTGCATGGGTTTCCTCCACACTCCAAAGACATGCTGATAGGTAAATTGGATACTGTCTAAATTGTCCCTAGTATGTGTATGTATGAATGTGAGTTAGGGACCTTAGATTGTACACCCCTTGTGGGTTAGGGACTGATGTGAATGTACTATATATATATATGGGGGCAACACAGTGACTAAATGGTTAGCACTTCTGCCTGGCAGCACCAGGGTTGCTGGTTGAAATCCCAGCCACAGCTCCACCTGCCTGGAGCTTGCATGTTCTCCCTGTGCCCGCATGGGTTTCCTCCAGGTACTCCAGTTTCCTCCCACACTCCAAAGACATGCTAGTAGGTTAATTGGCTCCTGTCTAAATTGCCCCTAGTATGTGTATGTATGAATGTGAGATAGAGACCTTAGATTGTACACCCCTTGAGGGTTAGGGACTGATGTGAATGTACAATATATATGTAAAGCACTGCATAAATTGACAGCACTATACAAGTACCTGAGATAAATAATATATGTAAAGTGCTACATAAATTGACAGCACTATATAAGTACCATAAATAATATATGTAAAGTGCTGCATAAATTGACAGCTCTATATAAGTGCCTGAAATAAATAAGTATAAAATGATATTTTTTTTTGTTTTCCTCCTTGAGGATTGTCACGGATGATTTTTGTCACACGGATGTCACTTCTTTTATAATTGCTGGTCATCACAGCCGTAGCAGTGAGGAACTTCTGTTATACCTAAGGACACTTGATTTGGGACTTTTATCCATAATATAAATATTTTTTGTTTATCAGCTTATTTTATGAGCACATATATGAGCACGATTTATGATATGTTTCAATCTATTGACTCTATATGATATTTGATTTCAGCGCTGCACCTTTATATACTTTATCATTTTTGTGGATGAGGGGGGTTCATTTTTTTTTTTTTTTTTTGTGCTAGCTGTTTTTTATTGGTTCTTCAGCGCTCATCTTTTATCTACTTATTTTCTTAGTACAAAATATGTCTTTTTTTTTAATCCTGTGTGCAAGAGACCTAAATGAGGAGATCACAACTGGAATCCTCCACGTTTTTGTCAGCAAATATTATGTTTGATACTTTCTATTATCATGTACCATGTTCCTGCTTGCCCCTACTACACACCACACATGGCCAATCTACAACAAGCAGTAATCTTACGCTCTTATCTCACATTCCTTCCAGCTCTTGTCTGCCTGTTTCCTCAGTTCCTGCACAGACATAAAAAGAGGTGTTAGGAAAGCAAAGAACTGAAAACCACAATGTGATCTTATAATAATATAACAAGGAGGGAGCCTTAAACGTACCATTCGGCCATCTTTTGAATCTACTCGCAATAACGAGTCCAAAGGAAATGAGAGGATGCTGTTCAGGTTCTGGATCTAAAAGATTACATTGAAATGAAAATTCTCAGTTCATGTTTCAAATCATTTCCATATGCCTGATCGTGCACTTTGTAAAAGCAGCAATTAGCGCATTCCCGGGGCTAAGTCTGTCCTTTGTTAGCAGACTCCTAGTAGCCAAACAGCTGCTTGCCAAAACTGCTGGCATCTTAAGATGCATGTTTGGGCTTCTGGAAATGCTGATATCAGCGCAATGATGAGAATGTGGACAGAATGTGGATTTGACAAGCAGCTGCTGAGTTACAGCAGGCAAATTCTCTTGTTAACCAGGAACTGACAGCCAGGAAGTCTGCGGAGTATAATGTGGGCAGCACAGTGGCTAAATGGTTAGCACTTCCGCCTGGCAGTACTAGGGTCATTAGTTTGAATCCCAACCACGGCACCACCTGCCTGGAGTTTGCATGTTCTCCCTGTGCCTGCATGGGTTTCCTCCAGGTACTCCGGTTTCCTCCCACACTCCAAAAACATGCCAGTAGGTTAATTGGCTCCTGTCCTAAAAAATTGTCCCTAGTATGAATGTGAGTTAGGGACCTTAGATTGTACACTCCTTGAGGGTTAGGGACTGATGTGAATGTACAATATCTATGTAAAGCACTGCGTAAATTGATGGTGCTATATAAGTACCTGAAATAAATAAATAAATGTGGTTAAAGATCTATAGGTGGGGGGGGGGGCATGCTATGCAACTAAAGAGAATAACAAGTAGAGGTGTACCCAGTAGTAGAACTACCACCACAGCAGGCCACAATAGAGGCTAGAGGGTTCATTTGTGGCCTGAACACTTCCATTCCTATACCTGACAGTACCAGGGCGGACTGACAACTCATGGGGCCCCCAGGCAATAGGGGATCATGAGACCCCTGTGTCCTTACCCAAACTCAAAAGCCTATGAAAAATGTACCAGGGGCATCTCATGGGGCCCCCTACTGACCCTGGGCCCTCGGGCAGTTTCTGAGTTTGCAAATGGTCAGTCTGCCCCTGGGCGTGAAGCATGCAATGTACAGTGTAAACTGGATGCCTTCCATCTGAGCAGGGAGAGGTGGAAATGAGGCACTGGACTTAAAACTTGAACCCATCAAAAAGCAATGAATGGTTGGCTGGAGACCAGCAGCTCTCCACAAAGCAGGGGACCCCCACAAGACAAAGGAGTCACCTAAACTGAGAAATCTGCATATAAGTGAACACAGAAATAGTGCCAAACAATTGTCTCAAGAGTCAAAAAAGCCCTGTATTGTTGTCCCAAAGAACAACAGGAAAGCAAAAGGCTTCCAATGCGTTTCGGGGGTCCAAAAACTCCTCTGTCAGGTAAATGCAGTGTGAGGCATCATGCTGCTTAAGCCCTCATGCACACTGGATGTGTTTGATAACGTTGGTAATGTTAGCTGTGTAAAGTCACGATAAAAACATAAGTTTTTCAGCTTTTTTTAGCGTTTTTGCATTAGCGTTTAGCCACAATTAATGGCGTTTTTCTGCATTTGCAGTTTTTAGCGTTTTTTTGACCAAAGAAAATGTTTTTTTTTTGTAAAAAAAAATGCCGGTTTGTGTCGTTTTACCGCGTTTTGCTGCGTTTTTCAGCGTTAGAGTGTTTTTTACAGCTAAAAACCTTCTCTAGAAACCCACTAGTCCTAGGTTTTTTCTCCAGCCAAAAAATGTCCCTGCCAAAATACGTTGATTACAGTCTATGTGCACATGGACACATACAGTGAAGGAAATAAGAATTTGATCCTCAGCTTGTTACCTGTATAAAAGACACCTAGTAGCCAGAAATCCTGCTGAATGATACGGGACCAAATACTTATTTCCCTCATGAACATGCAAATCAGTGCATAATTTGTTAGACATGCATTTCTTTTGAATTTGTTGTTGCTATTCTGTCTCTCAGTGTTACAATACACCTACCATTCGATTTTTAGACCGATCATTTCTTTGTGAGTGGGCAAACATTCAAAATCAGCAGGGGATCAAATACTTATTTCGTTCACTGTAGGATAACATGCTGGGGGGGCAGGGGTGGACTGACCATTTGGAAACTCAGGCACTGCCTGAGGGCCTGGGGTCAGTGGGGGGCCCCATGAGATGCCCCTGGTACCTTTTTCATAGGCTTTTTTGAATTTGGGCAAGGACACAGGGGCCCCATGATCCCCTATTGCCCGGGGCCCCCATGAGTTGTCAGTCCGCCCCTGCAGGGGGGTTTACTAGCTGTAGAAAAAAAACATCAAAAGCCAAAAACAGCAGCTGTAAAACATCCAGTGTGCATGAGGGCTAAAACTGCTGGTGGAAACACTTGGAGGGGGGAGTTGGAGATTTACTAAAACTGAAGCACATAGATTCTGGTGCAGTTGTGCATAGAAACCAATCAGCTTCTAACTTCAGCTTGTTCATTTAGGCTTTGGTATTAAGCCTGGGTTCACACTTGTGTGTTGCGCGTATATCGCATGTGATTCGCACAGGAACTGCACCGCATTTCTGTGCAAATCACATGAGAATTGTGTGTGGTGCGATTGGAGCCATACATTTTGTGTGGCTAAAACCGCACCACATCCGCACCAAAAACACGCAGGACCCTTTTTTTGGTCCGCACTAGAATCGGATTGCATGGGTATTTACACCCATGCGATCTGATTCTGCACATCGCACCGCGTTTTTTGGGGTGTTTTTAACTTAACCACTTCAAGTCCCGGACACTTTTACCCCCGTCCAGTCCAGGCCAATTTTCAGCTTTCAGTGCTATCACACTTTGAATGAAAACTTTGAGTGACACTGTACTACTTGTGGGGGGGGTGATGATTTTTTTTTTTCTTCTTTTACACTGATTGCTTTTACACCCATAAAGGCTGTAAAAGCAATAATTTCTCCTTCTCTCTGGCTGCATTCTTGCAGCCATTGAGAAATACTGTGAGAGCTGTGATTGGTCACAGCTTGTCACATGGTAGAAGGCTGTTGTGAATAGCCTTGTACCATGTGACCTCTGTGATCATTCACAGATTTCACACGTAGTAAGCAATGACGTCAGAAGTGACATTTTGCTTACTACTACTCATGTGATCACTGATTGGCCAATCGGTGATCCCATGATCAGGACTTCACACGGAGGTCCTGTACAGTGGTGCCGCGTGCTCCCAGGGAGCGCACATAGGCAGTGAATGTGGAGCCCATTTATAAATGGCCACCCGCTCTTGCACTGCTCCCGTCTGGCCGTTTATGTACATGGGCCGGACAGGAAGTGTTTAACATACACACCCGCAGCAGTTCGCATGAACGGGGTGCAATTGTGATGCGGTGCGGAATTCGCACAGAAAAGGCTGCGAATTCCACACCGTATCAATGTGAACCCAGACTAAAACCTAGAAACTGATTGGTTACTATGCACAGCTGCACCAGATTCTGTCTACTTCAGTTTTAGTAAATCTTCCCCTAGATGTCATATCTAAAAATACTTTCAAACCCTTTCGAGGTGACATTACTTTGAAGTCCAGATGATGGGGGGGGAGAGCTGGGCCTCAGAAATAATTGGCTGAGTTTTGCTTTCTTGTTATTTGGGACAAGAATAAAGTACTTTTTGGACTTACTGTTTGGCTGTTTTTGGTTCACTTATTTGTCTCAGGATAACTCATTCCCCTATATTTCAGACAGGGGCAAACTGACCATTTGGAAACTCGGGCACTGCCCAAGGGCCCGGGGTCAGTAGGGGGCCCCATGAGATGCCCTGGTACCTTTCATTGGCTTTTTTAGGAGTGGGCGAGGACACAGGGGCCCCATGATCCCCTATTGCCCAGAGGCCCCATGAGTTGTCAGTCCGCCCCTGATTTCAGATACACATGGCAGCCAAGTGGTTAGCATACTAATCTAGATTAAAGTCATACTAATACAAGATGTATTCTGGTTGTTAAAAGTTTCCTCTCTTTGAACTTTGCTACTGTTTTACTGAATAAGTTCATATGTGTCCTCTACCGTGTTTTTTCAATATCTAGCTGTAAAAACAATCAGATAATTAAGAAGCAACCTTCCCATTTGGATTTGGATTATGTAAACTCATTTGGTGGCATGGTATTAAAGAATTTGTCATATTACTGAACATATAAAAACGTAGCACCCTTAGGCCTCATTCACGCATACAATTACTGCAGCTGGATTTAAAGATGGTTGCAGGCATTTAGGCCACACGACCTGTACAAAATGATTACAGGATCACAACAGCTGTAGCTGTCCGCCGGTGTTCGGATCTCTATGAATAAGCCCTCATAGGTGAAACATGTTAAAGAGGAGAGAATGTGCTGCTTGATAGCTGCCTTAAAATTAGTGGTGCTGAAACTGAAGTCAAAAATTCCGGATGCACCTTGCTGAAAACTGAAACCAAATGGACAATTTTTAAAAATTAATATATTTTCAAATGCAATTAAAAAAAAAAACACTTTAAAAATTAAAAAATAAAAAACAAAATATATACCCCAGTTTTTTTGTAAAATATGAAATATGATGTTACGCCGAGTAAATAGATACCCAACATGTCATGCTTTAAAATTGCACACGCTCTTTAGCTCTGAAGAAGGGACTACGTCTCCCGAAACGTGTCCGCCTACCTCAATAAGGGTCTCCTGTTACTTTGGACCATCACCACTGACTTAATCTCTGTTTTAGTCCCCTTTGGTTTGTGAGTATGCACTTTTATATTTTTAAATAAACTCGTGTTTCACCGCGGTAATGAACGAAGAGAGTGCGCCCTGTTTTTGCTTTCCTTTACCAGTACCAAGATTTCTTCTAAGGGCTGCATCTCAATGAATGACAGTTACAGTACCCCTAGTCAGCATGAAGATTGCTGGTTTTGTTTTTTTGGATAACTAAAGGAAACACTTTTTTTTTAGTTTGGGATAGAGTGGAGAATGATTAGAACCTGTCAATTTGTATTGCTTTCTGTGCCCCCTTTAAGGAAATTCACCCTCTCAATTTCTCCTGTTTACCATTATCATTGAAAGTAAAAGAATATCCCCAAAAAAGTAATAGAGGAGAAATCTTCCAATGGGGACCTGAGAGTCCCCAATGCATTCCCTTAAAGCGGAGTTCTACTCACGCTGTCAAACAATAAACGTCAGCAGCTACAAAAACTGTAGCTGTTGACTTTTAAAAAACAGCCACTTACCTGTCTCTTAGTCCCGCGGTGTGTGTCCCCCTGCAGCCCGTTTCACCAGCCGTCCTGTATTCCAGGAGGCCGGCATCTTCAGTGTGGGCACCCGGTTGTGATAGCTTGCGGCTTCACAGCCGGGTACCCACTGCGCATGCGCGAGTAGCGCTGCGCTTCATGAATGGTCCTGTAGTCTTCTGGGACCTGTCATATCTCCCAAAAGACTAGAGGGAGGGAGGGAGGGAGGACACCTTCCACTTCCAATCGCCTAGACAATCGGACCGGAAGTGGAAGCAGGTACCCACTCCCCCTTCCCCCGCCAAAGGTGCCAATCCTTAATGGGGAGCGGGGAAGCAGTCCTTAAAGAGGAACTTCCCCTTTTTAGTGGAGCTCTGCTTTAAGTCCTGTGTGACTGTGGGATAGGAAGTGGCGGTAAATCTCCCAATGGGACACTGATACCCTTTGCTCTATCCAAAATGTAAAAAGTTTTGCAAAAGTGCAAAAATTTTGCCCATTGTTCTGCTTTAATGCATTGAAAAAGAGATTTCCTTTTTTTTTCAAATCATACTTTCCAAGGTGGATGCAGCATCGGTCCCCGCTGGCTCCAAGTGTGAGAACTCAGCGATCACATGACTGCTGATCGCTGAATTCTCACAGCCGCTCTGAGCAGAGAGCAGTGACTGTCAATTACTGTCAAAAGAGATTTAGCTGTACTTCTCCTTTAAGGTAATAAAAAAAAAAACCCTTCAGCCTTTAGTACACTTTAAATAA